AAATAATTTCCTCAGTAAGTAATTTTTGTAACTTTCCGAGTTAATATTAGTAAATATGGTAAAAATCAAGAGTAACATGTGGAAATCACAAATATCACAACTAATTATCTTTTGACCAAATTATAGTAGCTGGTAAATTAATATTATTAAGCTGTCAAAATTATAATTTCATGTTTGACTAGTACTATATGGACGCTAAGCAGTTATATGGCTAAAAGTCACATGCTCCTGTGGCAGATTTGTGAGCGGTGTCTTATGATATCATCCACCTTCAACCACAGTGTGTTTGAGGTCATGGTTTCATATGAAGCCAACAGGGCTGGCATTCTCCACCAGTATATTGCTAACAAACCAGATGAGTGGGGCTTTAAATTGTTCTGCCAAGCAAGTTCATCTGGCATCAACCACAACTTGCTGCTGTATCAAGGGGGATCTACATTCTTCAATGCTCCGCTCAGTGAAAAGGAACAGAAGCTACCTCTAAGGGGCCAAAGTTGTAGAAATCACTATGCAAACCCATAAAAGAACCTCAGGTCTTCACAAGTTTCAGCTTGGTCCAGAACTTGCACACGTCCTTGGGTGTCAGGTGCATTGGTACTGTATGACCAAACTGCACCGGTGGAGCTCCCCTGATGGCAGACAAAGACCTGACGAAGAAGGGCCATGGAGCCTGTGATTACAGGTCTGATGAAGGTCTGATTGCAGTAAAATGGTTTGACAACCTCATGCCTCTTTCATTGGTCAAACGGTGGAGCAAAGAGTCCAATGCAAAGATCACCATTCGATGCCCATCACTCATCTCTGTATATAATTAGCATATGGGAGGAACTGAGCTTTCAGATATGCTATAACACCTGTATAAGACAAGTTATAAGTCACAAGTTAAGGAGATGGCATATGCCACTGTTCGGATACATCCTTGACTTGAATTCCTGGTCTACAAGAGGGACTGTGCCTAGTGGACCAGAAACCGATGGCTCTCAAAAGATTTCTGCCTGGCTGTGTCTGAACCAAGTTAACAAGCCAGCATCTAGAGTTGGACAACCATGATTCAGCTCTCCGTGACCACAGAATAAATGCTACACCCTAAGACCCCAACGACCAAAACCACAAGTAGATGTTATTGATTTGCACTGTTTTTGTTTTGTTTTTTTAAAAACAAAAATTATTTTGCACAGTAGCATTCAATCAGAAGTGGCCTGAATGTGAGTATTCTGTGCTGCTGCACATTTTTCATAGTTGCAGATTTAAAAAAAATGTGTATTTTGTTGTTTGATATAATCGTCAAAGGATCTTGCAAAGAAAAGCATCTGGACTTCTTTAAGTTGCTTGAAGACGTTTCACCTCTCATCCGAGAAGCTTCTTCAGTTCTAAGGTTTGATATAATACTTTCCTTTGATGGAATGAATATTTTAAAAACTATAGGGTCTATTAAAAAAAAATTGATTGTGGTTATTACTCACCCGAGTCAATAAGAAATGTAAACAAAAAAAAATGTTCCATTGCTTTTTTCTCAGTGTGGACCTTAAAGGGTTAAAATTTCAAGTTATGGCCTTGTAACTCAAACTCCAAAGTGAGACAATAACTTGAAATTTCAAGTTAATAAATTGAAAATTGAGAGAAAGATCATACTGGATAAGGCATTGCACTTCAAGTCACAGAAAATTAAATATACAAAACAAATTTACAAAAAATAAAGAAAAAGATATGATAAATATCTCAAAATCAAGGTCTCCATCATGAAAACTGCTCATAAAACTGACAGTAACAGATGAGCAGTGGCATGTGAAATAATTTATTTTTATTATTTTAGAATGTATATAGTGCATGCGTTTGTATAATGTGCTACTGAAGTTTCCCTGCTTCATTTATTTCTTAATAAATAATTAAATTCGGAGTCACTTTTTAGAAGATTTAATTATTACGCTGAAATTTTTCGAATGTAAATCAAACGTAACTAAAACGGAAGTTTGTTTATTTAGTAATTCAGTGGCGGAAACAAACTTCAGGGTTGTACTGTTTAAACTAAATACATTTCTAAAACGATGTTACTAAAATCACCACACTATGTGTTCAATGAAAAAAAAGCTAAAATAAAGTTAAATGATGACCTGAAGCACAAAGCCAAATTCGTTAAGAAACCGGGTTGTTACGGGTTAATTCAAACACTCTCAGATCACGTGCGCACATCACATGACCTACCTCGTCAGAGCTTGTCAGGTCTTTTCCGTATCTCCCTCTGCTTTTCTATCTCTTAACTTCAACCGTATTTTCTCCTGTTTATTTTGCTTGACATTTCATGTGGCAGCGGGTCTTATTGTGTGTTGCTCGAACACAGGACTGCGCTGCATGTTTGTTAACCTGCGTCTTAAATAAAATTTCGCTCCATTCAGAAACGACCCGAAGAGCCACAGCTAGCCTCTGGTAGCCCGCTAGCAGCTGTTCAGTTTTGGGGATAATAGCGTCGCTGTGAGGCAGCCAACCAGGCACAAAGGTGAGAGGGAAGCAGTTGAGTGTTTGACTTCTGACTTGGACTCTGTGGTGTTATTTACACAGCGTGACAGCAATGTGAGAAAAACTGGATTAACGTCGAGTCTTTTACGCTTTAGCTAGCATGGTGTTAAAAGGAAAAGGATGACTCGTACTGCCGTACACACGCTTATTTGCATCTTGATAATTGTCCTTAAAAGAATTACAGAGCATGTTAAAGTTTGGGTTTCTAAAATCCAGAGTTTTTATACTGCTTCCCAAAACATCACCAAGGAGCATTCACACACTACATCTCTTATGTGGGGGTGTATTTGTGCTGACACTGTCAGCACAAATAAAACTTATTTTATTGTTTATGAGTCCAACAGAAGAAGCAGCATAGTAAAAGGCTTGCATGTCAGGTGTACAAAAGCTGTCATGAAGCTGACTGATCTAATGTAAGCCAGCATGGTTACAGTTCTTACAATTGCAATGTGAAAGAATGTGTAAGGGAAAAATGCTGAAATTGATGGATTTTACGTTTACATTCCACTTTATTTTAGGGAATAGTCCTAACTTCATGTGTTCTTCATTTCTTAGGGCAGGTTCTATGACATACGACCATCAACCCCGATCAGAGGATGTACCCGCCTTCCAGAAAGGACTTCATCTCTCTGACACTCAGTGACCAACACAGTCAGAACTACAACAATGGCAAACACCGAAGGCAGTCCTG